CTGGTCATTTTGACTAGTCTCTCACCATCTGTTTGGTGATTAGGTGGCTTCGTTGGTGTCGTCCCATCTGCTTCATCTCGGCAGTGTTATGGGGTTTTCTGGTTGTCCTTCCTTTCTTTTTATCTCTTCGTAGGTATACTGCACTTTTTGTTGACGTGGTCTTGTCCTTCTCTCGTGGAGGTTCCAGACCGGCAGCTTGCCACGTACGCCATTGTCTCGTGCTGTGCTGGCGGAGCCGCTACGGATTGTTTTCGGTTTTGATGTTCGTTCTACACTGTTTCGCGAGCTGTCTTGGGCATTGTTCACCTCTGGCCTGCTCATTCGCTGCTTGATCCGTCCTGGTCTTGGACAGGGTGCTCTTTTCTCTCTTTTTTCCCCCTCGGTTTGTTGTGGCCCCCTTCGGTACAGGTTTGTTTACCGGTTGTTTCTGCTTCTTTGGATTCTGGTGATCAGTTTGCTCGTTTCTGGCTGTCTCGTCTTTTCTGGCGAGGTTGGGATGGGTGTTTTCCGGAGGGGGTGGGGGTGTCCCTGGGGTTGTTGATGCTTGGTTGGTTGGCCGGGGGGTGCATCTTCTTGTGGCCGGTTGTAGCTCTTAGCTGTTGCCTGCATGCTGCTGCCTCTGTGGCCCTGGATGCGCTTTGGGTTGACACGGGTTTCCTTCGTCCCTGTTCCAGGGTTCGGGTCTCCCGGGTCATTCGCGGGGTCATATGGTGTTGCCAGTTATTTTGCTTTCGGGTTTGGGTGCATAGTTTCTACTTCCCGGGTTTGTCCCTCTTTTGTCCTTGGCTTTGGGTAGTTAGCTCTGGGAAGCCGAAGGGGCTCCTCCCAGAAAACCAGTGTTGAATGTAATGAAATGTCGTTTTCTGGGTGTCCTGGAGGCTCCCGGCAACCCTCCCTCCTTCTGGTCGGCGTTTATTTGTGTGTTTTTGACATCCAGCCTCAGAACTGCAGGGTTGATCGCCGGTGTGGGGGGTCCCCCCCCCTTCCCCCTTCCAGGGAGGGGGGGAGCTGCGGAGACATGCGGCGCGGCTCGTGTGACGTCATGCTCGTTTTCATTTGGGGAGTTATCTCCACTCACTTGTCTATTTTCGTCATTTTAACCAGAACAGGTGGTTTGTTTTGGGGTGTTTACCTATCTGGGTGCCTGTCACGATCGCTGGCAGATATAGAATGCTCCAAATCACTTCTGCATTTCTATATGCCATTGCTCCTTGTGCCTCTTTGAGGGGGGGGGGGTCAGGTTCTGGCTCGTGGTCCCTGGTAGACCTAAAACTCCATTCACACTGATGCCAAAGTCTAAGGATATACATATCAGCCTGGATAGCTCCGGGGGAGCCTCCAAGACTTGCCCAAAAAATGGCATTTCATTACATTCAACACTGTTTTCTGGGGAGAGCCCGTCGGCTCCCCGGAGCTATCCAGGCTGAATGGATATGTATAACTTTCTGGCATCAGTCAAAGTGCAGAGTTTTTGCCTACCGGGGACCACAAGCCAGAACCTGGCCCCCTGAGAGAGGCACGAGGAGCAATGGCCTATAGAAACCCCCTTGTGGTTGGGAGCATTCTATGTCTGCCATTGACTGCGATAGGCACCCAGAAAGGTAGGCGCCCCAAAACAAAACAAACCCCTATTTTGCTGAAAATATTGCTACAGAAAGCCGAACGAGTGGATAGAACTCCCCAAACAAAATTATCAAACTAGCATGACGTCATCACGTCGCCGCACCACCATCTGCGCAACCCCCCCCCCCATCCCCGGGAGGGGGAAAGGGGAGCCCCAGACCCTCCACGCCAGCGATCCAACTGGCAGTTCTTGGCTGATGGAATTACTGGCCGGACGAGTGCCTCTGGCTCCGGGTTTTGTTTCAGTTCTGTGCCTTGTGGTGTGGACTGTCTCTACCGGTGGGGTGTGAGCCAGGAGTGAGATTCCACGGTACTTGGGCTGCATGCACCTAGGGCTCTCTTCCCTAGGTGCCCTGTAAGTACTGCCCTTGGGGCTTGGGGCCACCTTCCACAAGTCACCTTGGGTTCTGCCTCCGCTGTGTCCTTTACTGCTCGGGACTGGGCCGCCCTTGGAGTTGGCTGGGGTTTTGTTGCCCTGGTTTGTCTTTGGGTAGGGGGTAGTTTTCGTCACTGGTAGGGGCACGGGGGACCGCACAACTAGTTTCACCAATAACAGCGTCCGGCTCTGTTCCGCCTGGGTACGTTGTCCTCTTGTGGAGTTTTTCTTCTGTTTTTGTTTTTGCCTGGTGGGGGTCTGCCTTTCTGGTCCCCCTTTACTGTTCTAGGTGTTTTTATTTAAATTTCTTCTGTTGGTGGTACTCCCTGCTTGGCCCCTGTGAGTGGACACGTCCGGGGGGTTCAGCTTTTAGAAGTTTGTTTGGTAGACTTGGGCGCGGTTTGTGGTACCCTGCCTGGGCTTCCCTTAGTGTGTACCAAAGGCTAAGGGCCCTGGGAAACCCCACGGGGGCTCTGTGGCCCTATAGGTGTGTCCCCGGAGTACCCCCTCGCGTCCTGCGAGTTTGATGGTTGTTCTGGCCCCTTGTCTCAGGGTGACACTCACCGGTTGTGCCTCCGCCATGCTGCCTGTTGAGTCATTGTTTCTAATGACACGGAGTCGTGCGACGGGTGTTGTCGGTACGTGTTCTCGTTCACCCAGGCCACTGGTCATGATGATTGGGTGCAGGCGGCAGCGGCGTTGCTTGCTGGGTGTAGGTTGCTGCAACGCTCTTGGTTGTTTGCAGCCCCGGATGCCCCAAGGCTGCCCCGTTTTGGTTGTTGGGGTCTGAACTTGAGGGTGGGGGTCGCTTCGGCTCTGGCGCCTTCCGCTCCTCGTCCTTCCCCTTCTGTTCTGCACACTTCCTCCCTTGCTTTCGGCTCTGAACTGTAGGCGGGTTTCGGGGTTGGGGTGAAGTCTGGTTGGGTTGAGACTCGGGCAGTCTCGGGGGATTTCCTCTTCCTGGGGTGCTGGCGGAGGCATTCGAGTCAGTTCCTCCAGCCGTGCTGTATGGGTCTGACCAGTGGGCTCCCTTCCTTAGTGTTTGTACGGTTGCCCCGGCTTTTCCTTGTCAAGCTGGGGCTTTGGGGGTGCAGCTCGGCCCCGGGTCTTGCCGTCGAGGTTCCCGGGGTTGCCTCCCCTCCCCGGGGAGGAGGGGGAGGCAATCCCTCCTCCTCCCTCTTGTTTTTCGAAGGCTCTTTTCCTGATGGCATTGGCCTCTGGGGGTCGGGTGGGTGAGCTTCATGCTCTCCTCCGGTGCAGAGGTTTCTGCTCCTTCGGTCAGGGTGATCAGTTTGTTCGTCTGCAGCCTTCTCCTTCTTTTCTGGCGAAGAATGAGACTGCTGCGTTCCAGAAGGGCCCTTGGGTTGTTGATGTTTGGTTGGTTCGGCCGGAGGTGCATCGTGTTTTGTTTGGTTGCAGCTCTCCGCCATTATTTGCGCGCCACGGCTTCTGTGTCCGTGGATGCGCTTTGGGTTGATCCGGTTTCCCTTCTTCCCTGTTCGAGGGTGTGGGTCTCCCAGGTCGTCCGCAGGGTTACTAAGGCTAGCCAGCCTGCGGTCTATCCCCATGCCCATGACGTCCGCAAGTTCGCAGCACTTGCCGCCGTCTTTGGCAATATGTCCTGGGCTGACATTTGGGTGCGGGGATTTTAGCGGTCGAACAGGGTCCTGGCTGCTCATTACCTTGTAAACATTCCTGGGCCCGGTCGGGCCTGTGTCGCTTTGGGTTGACAGATGCAGCCAGTTGTCTTGACTTCGGGTTGAGGAGTGAGCAGCAACCGCCTCCCGGGTAAGTCCCTATTCTTTTCCTCAGTGGGTAGTTAGCTCCGGGGAGCCGTAGGGACTCACCCTAGAAAACCAGCGTTGAATGTAATGAAAATGCAATTTTCAGGGTGAGTCCCGGAGGCTCCCCGGTATCCCTCCCTCCCTCCCTCTGGTCTGCTTTTTTTTTTTTTTTTTTTTTTTTTTTTTGCGGGTTTTTGACATCCAGCCTCAGAACTGGGGTGTGGATCGCCAGCGCGGTAGGTCTCAGGCTGCCCCTTCCCCCTCCTGGGGAGGGGGGCTGCGCAGACAGCGGTGCGACGATGGATGACGTCATACTAGTTTGCTTGTTTTTGTTTGGGGAGTTCTATCCACTCTTTCGGCTTTTGGTTGCAATTTTCACCAGAATAGGGATTTGTTTTGGGACGCCTACCTTTCTGGGTGCCTAACCCGGTCGATGGCAGGCATAGAATGCTTCCTGTTACACAGGGGTTTCTATAGGCCATTGCTCCCCTTGCCTCTCTAAAGGGGGCCAGGTTCTGGTTCGTGGTCCCTGGTAGGCCCATAAAAACTCCATACACATGACTGATGCCAAAGTCTGCCATTAGCATATCACCCTAGTAAGCTCCAGGGAGCCTCCGGGACTCGCCCAGAAAATGGCGTTTCATTACATTCAACGTTGGTTTTTTATCCTATGTTGTTATGTCTGTGATAAGACAGTACAATTACTTAATTGAATCATTGCTCTAGTATTGTACACATAGAATGCTGTAAGAGAAGAATGTTCAGTTTGTTCTTAACTGTACATAGTAAATGTGGTTCTGCATGTGGATGCATTTCTCAAGAAACATTTTCAAAATGTTCTTTATAGTGTACTGTATTGTTAATGAACTCCTGGAATAAAGAGAATACATTTCAAGACCAAGAATTGCACAGTAGATGCTCATTTTGATGAGCCTATGTATGGCTAGGTTCTCGGTATTTACTTAATGAGCTAAGTATATTGATAACAATAAACCTCAATACATAAAAAATACTTTAACACACTATAGTAATAACTGTATTGTGTAGCATATGCCAGTAATACATAATAAACTAGATACTGCTAGCAGTCATGATTAACACCGAAATGTGAAGACGTTTACAGAATTTTACTATTCTACCGACCTTTATCCATTTCCAAGTGAAAAAAATACACAAATTCATGTATTGGACAAGTATTAGAGTTTTGGTTCTTTCAGGTATTATCGAGGAACCCACGGAGTAATAGTGGTATACGATGTAACCAATGGGGAGAGCTTTGCTAATGTCAAGCGCTGGCTGCACGAAATTGAGCAAAATTGTGAAGTAGTCAACAGAATATTAGGTATGGTCATGCATGTTTTATTCAATTTATTATTTATGATATTATATGTATATACTGTATGCTTTATAAATATAGTTTGATGGTTCTTTGTCATTTAAATGTTATAGGTTGTGAATTAAGTGTTTGTAATTCAGAAATTATCTTGAAAAATCTCTCTAATTCAGTATCCATTGCTTTTAAGCTAATGATAATATTTTACTTGAAAACTATATGCTAATTGAATAAGTTTTAGAATGATAGCAAAACTTTGATAGATATGACCTGTAGAGATTGTGTAATTTTCCACACCATATTATTATAAAAATTACTACTGTAGGCAATTCAAAATTTTTCTGTGGGGAGCCCCATAGGCTCCTTGAAGCTATTTATACTGATTAAGTGCCATAGTACTTGGCGTCATCAATTGCAGAGTTCTTGTATGCCTACCAGGGACCATGAGCCAGAACCTGGCTCTTCAAGAGAGGTGCAGGGAGCAATGACCCATGAACACTTTATATTTAAAGTCTTTCATCTTGCCGTCAACCAGGGAAGCACCCAGAAATGTAGGCGAATCAAAACAGACCACTGCCTGATTGAAAAATGCGACCTACACCCTGTAAGCATCGAAAGAACTCCTCCACCAAAACAAACAAGCAAAACTTTGTCCAAATAGCCCCCTGCTTGTTAGCTCGACCCCTTACCCTCATTGGGGAAAGGAGAGGTGGCCCAGGTGAGCCGAGCTGCCACCAGCCAGATTTTGACTGGTGTGCCTGGAGGTCATTGATTCGTTCTGGCCAGAGTTTACCGTTTTGTTGGTGTTTTGCCTTGAGAGGCTGTTCCTACAGGAAAGTGTGTGTTGGTCAGGAGTTTAGAGTACTGGAGCTGCAAGTGCCTAGAGTTACCTTCCCTAGGTGCTCCATAAGTACTGGCCTTGCATGGTCAGAGTTTTTTTCCCTGGGGCATTTGGGAATCACATCCAGTTAGAGGACTTCCTTGCTTGTGGTGATATTTGAATTTGGAATGTGTCGGGGGTCTTTAGGTCTTCCATCTTGCCTTGGGTAGGGGAATGTTGTTGGATGAGGAGGTGCACTATGGCTGGCATTGCCAGCTCTTCAGTTAGCTAGGGCACGCCGATGTTTCTCCCGGACTGCTTATTGGCTGTTGTGAGGTTTTGTTTTGTTTTCTGTGGGGGAAGCCCCTTCGGCTCCCTGGAGCTATTGGACTGATATTAGCTGATATTAGTACGAAGTGCACTAGGATACGAGGTGATATTAGTGCACCTCCTCAGGGCGCCTGACAGCTGGGTGAACAGCGCTTCAGATTCGTAGTCCTGAGGTTCCGGGTTCGATCCCCGGTGAAGGCGGAGACAAATGGGTAAAATGTTTCTTTAACCCTGATGCCCCTGTTACCTAGCAGTAAATACGTACTTGGGAGTTAGACAGCTGCTACGGGTTGCTTCCTGGGGGTGGAGGCCTGGTCAAGGACCAGGCTGCAGGGACACTAAGCCCCAAAATCATCTCAAGATAACCTCAAGATAACCTCAAGTACGGGGGCTTCAGTCATATGGAGTTGTCAAGCGTACCAGGGAGCACTAGCCGAAATGTGATCTCCTCAGAGAGGCAGAGGGAGCAATGATCTATGAAATTCGTGTATGAAATTATTCATGTCTGCCATTGACTGGGGTTGAACACCTAGAAAGGAAGGCTCTCCAAAACAAACCTCTCCTGGTAGAAAAATTGCAACCCGAGACCGAACAGTGGCTAGAAACTCCCCCAAGGAAAACTAGCTAGCAAGCAACACGTCATCACACTGCCCACTGCTCGTTCGCAACACCCTCCCTCCCCCAAATCAGGGGGAGAGAGGGAGGGTGCCAGGGAGCCTCTGGGGCTCTACTAACAAAATGACATTTCATTATATTCAACACTGGTTTTCTGTGGGGAGCCCCATTGGCTACCTGGAGCTAACTACTCAAAGATCAGGAAAATAGGGACTTACCCGGGAGACGGCTGCACCACACAACTCATAATGAAGACGAGTCCTATTGAGAGAGGGTTCTTATTCTGAATCTATGGTGGGCGGCTCAGCCTTGATTTCAAGCGCTGCTTGCTTGGTGTCCGAACCCGAGGCGTTTTCCACGGCTCCACCTCTTTCAGCAGATCAGGCCGGTGAGGTACCTAGCTTCTTCACTCTACTCTTCTGCTTTTCGTGTTTGGAGTTTCTGATGCTGGTTTATCACCATCTGTATGGTGACCAGGTGGCTTCTCTAATGGTGTCCCACCTGCAGTCTTCTTCTCGACGGCAGTATGAAGTCTCTTGGCAGTCTTTTCGCCACTTCTTTTCCCAGTGTAGGTTGTCTTTGGTTTCGGTTCGTGTTGTGTTGCTTTTTCTTTCTTGGCTCTTTCAGGACAGGTACTGGACAGGCATGCTCCAGTACTTTTTTCTCATCCTCATATCAGACACAGACAAGGACACAATCTATAGTACTGTATCTTCCTTTGCAGATAACACTAGGATTTTTATGAGAGTAGACAATATATAGGACATGGTGAACCTCCAATCAGATATAAACCAGGTCTTTCTATAGGATACAAAAAGTAATACGGTGTTTAACGAAGATAAGTTCCAGCTCTAGCGCTATGGAAAAAATGAAAATATAAAAACGAAAACCATGTGCAAATCGCAGACAAATCATAACTTAGAACAAAAAGGCAATGTAAAGGATTTTGGTATTTAGTACTCATGTCAGAAGACCTTACCTTTAAAGAAAACAATATAGTAGCTGTCAAATCTGCAAGAAAAATAACAGGTTGGATAACAGAGCCTTTCACACTAGAGATGCTATATTGACGATACTTTTCAAGGAGTGGAAAACTGTTGCACAATGACAGCCCCTTTCAAAGCTGAGTACTGACCTGGAGAGTGTGCAGAGATCCTTTGCTGCTAGAATTCACTCAGTAAAACATCTAAACTATTGGTAGTGACTAAAATGTCTAAACTGTAATCTCTTAAGCACAGACAGGAGAAATACATAATAATTTATACATGGAAAATAGTAGAGGGCCTGATCCCAAACCTGCACACAGAAATAACATGACATGAGACCAGAAGGCATGGCAGGATGTGCTGAATACCCCCGTTGAAAAGTGGAGATGCAATAGGTACTTTGAGAGAGAACTATATCAACATCAGAGGCCTGAGACTGTTTAACATGCTTCCACTACACATAAGAGGCATAATTGGCTGACCCCTCAGTGTTCAAGAGAGAACTTGATAAGCACCTCCAAAGGATACCTGATCAACCAGGCTTTGATTTGTATGTCAGGCTACGAGTAACTGCGTCCATTAGCCTGGTTAACCAAGCTGCGGGGATGCTAAGCCCCGAAATCATCTCAAGGTAACCTCAAGGTAGCCTGCAGTCTATGCCCATGGTGTTTGTAAGTTCGCAGCTTTGGCTGCTGTGTTTGTTAATATGTCTTAGGCTGGCATTTGGGCTCGGGGGTTTTGGAAATCGAACAGGGTCCTGGCTGCGCATTACCTTGTTAATGTCCCAAGCCATCAGCGGTCTTGTGTTGGTGGTTGCAGCCAGTTGTCTCATCTTTGTTATGAGTTGTGTGGTGCAGCCGCCTCCAGGGTAAGTCCCTATTTTCCTGCTCTTGGGGTAGTTAGCTCCAGGGAGCTGATGGTTCTTCCCAACAGAAAACCAGCATTGAATGTAATGAAATGCCATTTTCTGGGTAGAGCCCTGGAGGTTCCCTGGCACCCTCCCTCCCCTTGGTCGGTGGTTTTTGTTTTCGTTTTCAGTCTCCAAACTGATGGTCTGGCTGCCAGCTTGGTGGGCCAGGACCCCCCTGTGAACAAGAGGCGTGCGGTGTGATGACGTGTTGCGTGTTAGCTTCTAGCCTTGGTAAGTTTCTAGCCTTTATTCGGTCTCAGGTTGCAATTTTTCTACCAGGAGGGGTCTGTTTTGGAGCACCTACCTTTCTAGGTACTCAACCCCGGTTGATGGCAGACATAAACAATTTCATACATAAGAGTTTCATAGGCCATTGCGCTCTGCACCTCTCTGAGGGGACAATGTTCTGGCTAGTGGTCCCCAGTAGGCTTGACAACTCCATATGACTAAAGCCCCATACTAATATTAGCTAATATCAGTCCAATAGCTCCAGGGAGCCTCCTGGTCTCTACCCAGAAAATGGCATTTCATTGCATTCAACGCTGGTTTTCTTTCACTCTTTCATTTGCTGATGCTTTAGTTTGCTTCTCTTGGCAGTGGAGTTCTGCCTTCTGCCTTATTTGGCTAACCTAAGGTATGTTATGTAGAACTCCTCTGTTGTCCCCAGGCTTTCCGGCAATCTTGGTGGTCTGGTTGCCTGTACCGACAAGGGTTACTGGCGTAGCTGGTCCAAGTGCTCAGGCTTCCTGTGGGGCTTTTTCACCCTACAGGTCCTGGAAATCCCCTGCGGGCTCGGTTGTATAATGGCAGCTTTTCCGAGCCCGCTCTCACCTTGTGTGAATTCGTGGGTTGCTCGTCACTCATGCCTCTGGGTGACGTTCATCCGTTATGCCTTCGCCATGATGTTTGTTGGGTCGGTGACACCTACGACCCAGAGACTTGCGGGACTTGTTCTCTGCATGTGCTTTTGATTAATCATTCCTCATCAGATATTCCGAGGTATCAGGCAGCAGTCTTGTTGCATAGCCATTTTTCTGTCTTGCAACGTTCCAGATTGTGTGCTCATTTGGAAGCCCTGGACCTGCCTTACTTGGTTTTCAGGCACTTGGTTTTCGGGGTGTTGGTCGCTTTGACCATGATTCTGTCCACACCCCCTCATCCTTTCCAGGTGGGTGTGGTTTGCCTTTCTTTCCCCCATTTCCGGCTCTAAAGCATCTGAGGGTTTTGGGGTTGGGACGGGGCTTAGCTTGGGGTGATGCATTGCCTCCTTCCGATTCAGGTGCAGAAGCAATTGAGCCTCTCTTTCCTGCTGAGGCTTCTGAGTATTCGCAGCTGACTCCCTCCTCTG